TCGGAAAGCTGCAAGAATTCGGGATGACTTTTGTGAATACTTTAATAGCGAGGGAGCAATACCTTGGCAATTTCAACACTGTTGATAAACAAAGGAATAAATATTTCATTTTATAACGTTTATACTGTATTTTGTATGTAATTTTAACATTTTAATAAATTTTGTATTTAACACATAAAACAAAATATAATTTCACGCTTTATTATCTCCATAATTTAAATAAAAACTAAGTTTAATTTAAGTACAAAATTTTTGTTAAGCTAATTTAATATTTAAGTTAATATTTCATTAATATCTTTGGTTTTCTTTTAACATTTCGTAAGACATATTTAAATATCGTTGCATCCATTCATTTTTGTTTTTCTGGCGATAACTTTCTTAAGTTATGACCAAACAGTTTTAAGAACGCATCTATATGGTCTTCTTGAGGGGTGGTGGAAGAACAATGTCAGGAGGTGGTTGACATAAAGCGTCTGCTATACGTTCTAAGTAACTGTTTTGTGACTCTGCTCGCCTTCTCTTTCTTACATGATCTTGAAAAAAAAAATAATTTAAAAACCATTTTCTTCTAATTTCAAAATTTTAAAATAAACTGTGATAATTATTCAATACTTCCTAATATACTCGTATCTTGACTATCTTCATTATTAGTAACTTCTAACATATTCGCATCTTGGCAATCTAATTCATTATCATTCTCGATAATACTGTTGCTGTCTCCATCGTTAATATTAGAAATCGTACTGTAAAGAAATAAAATTTATTATTTTTATATAAAAAAATTAATACAAAAATAATTTTCTAGTATTAAAAATAATGAAATCATACAAATGCATTATTAACCTTTTCTGTAAGCAACTATCTCGAAGGAATTCCATACTTTTATAATGTTTCCATTTGCTCATGTTGCTTTTGGAAGCAGATCCACTTGGTAGTTTCTCAGCGTTCACAAGTCTCCTATAAGTGTCGTGAAAATTCTTGAACTTGCTTTTACATCCAGCTGCGCTTAATTTCCCTGTAAAAACATTCTGTTTTAATATATTTTTTTAAATTCTTGAGGCTTCCACGGGTACTATCTTCAAGTTTGCTGAGTGTTTCGCGGGTTATCTCCATGTGTAAGTTCATCCTTGGATGCTATGGATGCTTGGATAGTATCCAAGGATGAACTTACACACGGAGATAAAACCCGCGAAACACTCAGCATATTTTTTTAATATTATAAATAATAGACATTTATATAACCATTAAAAGTTTGAGAAACTTCTTCCCACAAAGCTCTTGTAATTCTGCAATTTCTTTGAATGAGAGGTAATCTAAAATTCCATAGTGGTTCTCTGCATTGGACTTCTAATATTAGCATCTCCTCCTCCTCAAGTGACAGTTTTTCCTTTGCGCTCTTTTGATTGGAATTTCTATTATTATTAATGGATCGAATATTCTCTGAAACAAAAAATAAAATGTATATCATACAAACATAATATGTATAACTTCTCATTTATAATGTTTTAAAACTTCAAGAATTTATTACATTTATTTGACCTTGATTATCACCATGAAAAGGTACAGATGCTATTGTTTCAGCGTCCTGTGTCAAGCTTCTTCTAACAATAGTTTCTCCATCGTCTAAAAAAACATTATTAAAAAAACATCAGATTTAATAATTTTTGTAATTAACTTAAGTAAAATATATATATATATATATATATATATATAAAAATACCTAATACAGGGTAAAAGTACAAATTATCATCTGTAATGAAATTAGAATATCCTTGAAGACACTCATGGCTGGGTACTTCGTCCTCATTACATATGGTTTCACATAATCCACACGTTTGAACACGAGACTACAAAAAATATTTAGAAAATATCTTATATAACAAATATTTTATTTACTTCATGTTTTTTTTTGCGTACGTTACATAAAATATTATTACTGACATAACTTATATGATTAAAAATAACAGATTTATATTTATATGTAAAACAAGATATGTTAAAGTGTTGCTCGAAATTGACCTTTCTCAATTTATGTTTACTTATAATGTTAAAGACATAATAATGTCCTTAATTAAGGGGATGCTGGAGTTGTGCAGGGACTTTTGTCGTACATAATCTCGAACACGAGCAATATTTGCTTCATGTAAAAATTCTACAGTTTGTGTTATGTGCAAAATAAGAGTCAGCGTATGCACGAGACAACATATCTGAACAATATCGTGCAATTGGAACTAAGGTTAAAAGCCTAGAAAAAAAGAAAAATGTACTTAAAATTTTGTACAACCTTCGCATACGCTGGCTCTTATTTTGCGCATAACAAACTGTAGAATTTTTACATGAAGCAAATTTGCTCATATTCAAGGTTATGTACAACAAAAGTCTCTGCACAGCTCCAGCATCCCCTTAATATTAATAATAATATTTTTATAATAATATATATGTACATGTTTATTATATTCATCAAACAATATTATTATACTTACCATTTCGATATCCATTCAAATCTTTATCGCTCGCTAATATCGCTTGTAGTTGGAAAAATCGAACTACATTTCACGTCGCTAGCGACTTACATGACGTCATCACATCGCAGAAACGAGCGTCGAGCGACAGCATGAAAAGGTACCTTTAGAATTTTTCTGATTAATATTTACCACAATAAAAATATTAATATCTACCACAATAAAATAAAAAATGTACTCGATTAATTTTACTATGTTCATATTAATAATTTTTAATGTAGTAAATATTAATCAAAAAAACTCTTATAATATTTTTCCTACACCATATTATCCCACGATTACCATGATTTTCAGGATAAATTCTAATAAGAGAAAATTCTCTCCGTGTATGGTGTGATTTGCATCAGACTCTTATTTGCTTTGTATGCATGTTAAATTTTAATGAGATACATCGTTGAAAATGATGTCAATGCGATTATTAATTTTTCAAAACTGTACTTTACAATAATTAATCAAGATGCCATTTTGAAAATAAAAAGATTCGTTTTTAGTAAAGAAAGTGAGATGAAAAGGGAAAGAGAGAAAATAGTTGTCGCGGAGCTTTAAGGTGCCTACTGATGGACGCGGCAAGTTGCCGCGCGCGGCAGTTCAGAAAGAACTAGATCTAGGGGCTTCTGAAACTGATGCCGCTTGCCGCGTCTGCCGCGCGAATTCGGCGTCATCGCGTTTGTCGCGAAACAATATAACCTCAATTCCTCAGTATCTCAGTTATCAGTTTAAATAATCAATATATCATGTCTGCAAAAATGAAAATTTATGAGTGGTCAATGCAGTGCAGTCAGGAACAGAATGTAGAAGCAGACCGACGTGACAAGTTGCTCGGATCATTAGCTATGTTATTAGCTGCAAAAAACAGACGGATCAACAAAAAGAAGCGTTTCTGGGTTGCTCCAATTTTTAAAAAACGCTGTGAGCATGGTTTTTACCATGCCTTGCTGCCAACACTTAAATTGGAAGATCTGCGGTTCCATAATTATTTTCGGATGTCAACCACGCAATACGAAGAGTTGTTAGCCATTGTAGGCCCGCATCTAGAGAAACAATACGTCGTGCGAGAGCCGATAAGTGCAGCAGAACGATTGACGTTGACATTACGGTAAACATCTTTTGTTTTTATTTTAGTTATATGAATGTAAATGTTGCATTACATCAATTTGCATTACGTTTCAGATTTCTGGCAGCTGGTGATTCCATGTCTTCAATGACATATCAATATTTAGTAGGCTTGACGACTGTAAGCAATATTATTGCTACAACATGCAAGATTATTTGGGAACATTTGTGTCCTTTGGTTCTTCCACCTCAGTTATTCGAAGATGACTGGCGGAGCATCGCAGAAGATTTTGAAGATATATGGGACTTTCCACATTGCATTGGAGCAATCGATGGAAAGCATGTAACCATTCAAGTAAGTAATACTTGTATTATAATTCTTTTCAGGCATTATTCAAATATTAAAAACTATCGGGAAATAAATAGAAAAAACAATACGAGCAGACTCCAATTTTCTTGCAGTATGTGAAAAATATATAATAATCTTTGTGTAATTTCAGTGTCCGGATAATGCTGGCTCCAATTTCTACAACTATAAAAACAGTCATAGCATTGTGCTATTAGCTATTTGTGATGCCAATTATATTTTCCGGTTCGTCGATATTGGTGCGTATGGCAGGCGAAGTGATGGAGGCATTTTTCGTGAAAGCCGATTCGGTCAACAACTTAATGCAGGTCAAATGAATATCCCAAAATCGGACAGTTTTTACAAAGGAGGCCCGTCTTTGCCTTACTGCATTGTCGGGGATGAAGCCTTTCCATTGAAATCATATTTGCTAAGGCCATACTCTGGCAAAAATAACTTGTCCGCCGAACAGCACATCTTCAATTATAGACTCAGTAGAGCCAGACGAGTGATAGAGAATTGTTTCGGAATACTTGCTAGCCAATGGCGAGTTTATCGAAAACCGATCATTAGTAGTGTGGAAACTGCTATGAAGATCGTACAAGGTACAATCTGCATTCATAACTGGCTCCGCAAGAGTGATATCGAGAAGAACAATTATATTCCACCAGGTATGTTGGATAAAGAAACGGCTGTGGGTGATCACATACGAGGTTCGTGGAGGACGATTATGGAAGATGGTTGTGCATTTGTGGACATCTCCAAATGTAGTACAAATACAAGTACTCGGGGTGCCATGCTCATTAGAGATGAATTTTGTAAATATTTTAATAATGAAGGCTCAGTAGCATGGCAAAATGATAAATGATACATTAGCATATTATTTCGTTTTATTTATAATATTATACTAGACATCACAGATATAATCATTATTTGTATACTACACATGCAAAGGAAATAAATCACACCTTTTAATCATGCAAACTAATTCTTTAAAACTTCTTTTTCCTACTTTCCCAGATAATCATAACTTTAATGTTTCTTGGTATCCCGGTCCAGTTGAGTAATAACTATTTGAATAAATACGCTTCGGCTTTATTGCACTAACAAAATCAGTCTCGTTTTATTACTATACGTATACATATATTATTCATATTATTATATTTTACGTTATATTATTGTTGTTGCCGAATTGTCGTTACGCAATAATTCAGCACGTAAGAGCTCGTGAATTTTCAACATTATTGCGCGTCTGCGGACTGATGACAACTCTCGTAGCTGGCAGGCAATCATCGAAGTAAAATTGTCAACTTCGTCAAGAACAGGAGGAGTTGGCAAAGGTGGTCGTGGAGTCTGCAAGGCCTCTGCTATCTGCTTCATCAAGTCTTCTTCGCGCTCAGTACTTTTTCGTTTTCTTTTCATTCCTGAAAATGAAAGAATGACTTTTACATAATAATACATTTTGTATTATTGGACAAAATTGATGTAGCTAGCTGTAATAGTACTAACAAGTGAGATATTCAATTTGTACAATTTTCCTACAATATATATATATGTGTGTCGGTTGATAATTAATGTGGAATTTTGAATATAATGCGGGGTCTACGATGCAGTCGTTACAATGTTACGACGCTGTGACGGATCAATCAAAGAAGAGAATATATGATTTTTTTTCTCTGATTGGTCCGTTGCAGCGTCGTATTGTCATAACGACTACATTGTAGACTCTGCAAAAGTTTTATTTTATTATTGCATATTCTTCTTATTATTCTCTTTCTGTTTTTAAATTTATTTACTTGCCCGTACAGCTTATGAACGAAATACTTTTTGATGCATCAATCGCACCGTTGACTTCTACGACGTCCACACTTTGGATTTCCGTGTCATCATTGCTAGTGTCTTCCTCACGACTCATCATATTTGAAACTGTCCTGAAATACAATAAAATGAAATAATATCAATATTAACTGTTTTTAGTATTGCAGTGAATGCTTTTGTGAAATACTAACTCTTTTTCCAAAGAAGTGTCACGTAAGAAAGACAACAATTCGTAATGTTGCCACTTTCTGCGAGATGGTTTACTTCCTGATCCACTTGGCAACTTTTCAAGAGAGATTATTTTCATGTAACGATCCCTTAAGTTCTTCCATTTTTTTTTTACCTCATCGACAGAACATTCGCCTGTAATAATAAAATCGTACTGTTATATCACTTTAATTCTATTGAGTTTTCTTTAACTACTCTCTTTCTCTCTCTCTCTCTCTCTCTCTCTCACATACACACACAAATATATATACGTACCATTCGTCGCATTAGCCACTTGCTTCCAAAGTTGTTGTACAGTTTGCCTGTCACGTTTTGTTATACTCAGTTTTTGATTCCATAACAGTTCTCGTGCCGACACTTCTGTAATGATAAGTTCTTCCAGGTTTTCCACTGGGCACGGCTCTTGTGTCGGAAGAGGCGATTCTATTACAATCTGCTCTGCTCCATTAATCGCACTTCGGCGCACAATGCTTCCATCTTCTACAAGATATTTAAATTTTTACATTCGCTCAAATAGTATTATATCGGTCACTTTCACCTTTTATATTTTACTTACCACATTTGGGATATAAATACAAGCTATTCACATCAAAAACAATCTCTGAATAATTTGCAAAACATTCATGGGACCATGTTTCTTCATCCTCAAGGTCCCCAAGAATTATTTCGCATAATCCGCATGTGTATACTTTCTGCCATAAAAAAAAAATCAATTATATCACCCGATGTGTCATTCTAAAGTTCGGTTCCAAGTCATAAATGTTTATAAGAATTGAAATAGATTCGTACGCACATGTTACGGTACGTTTTTCTCTTCCGAAACGACCAAAACATACACTTAACCTCCAATCTTGAATTATGCACAATCATATATATTACCTTCGCGATTGCTTTCTTAATATTTTTTTATATTAAACTTATATTATATTTGGATATAATAACATACACTAACCTTTGGAATCTCCACATTTACTCCTGCCATCGTTTCAATTTTATTTTGAAATGTGCACAAATAACCACTCCCGCGTTGCCGCAAGTGAAGTTGGATTATTCCAACTTCACTTGCGGCAACGCAGGAGTGATTCAGAAGCCCCTAGATCTAGTTCTTTCTGAACTGCCGCGCGCGGCAACTTGCCGCGTCCATCAGTAGGCACCTTTAGCGTTAAGGTACCTTTTCATGCGTCGCTCATCGCTCGTTTTGAGCGATAAAAAAATCACGTGACTGGATTTGTCGCTAGCGACTAATATCAAACATGAAAAGGGTTTTCCAGCGACGCGATTTTAATGTAGTAGCGTCAGCTGAAGAATTCTATACAGGTGCTCCAAAATATATATAATCGCACAATGTCACAATCAGAAAAATATAATTGGATAACGGAGTGTGCAAAAATTATAAATAATCATAATATGAGAGAAAGGAGAAAAAGATTAGCGATATCGGCAGTTATTTTTGATTTAATAGAAAAAAGGAAACGACCTTATACTAGAAAAGAGTTTTGGATTAATCCATTGTTTCAAATGAGACGCGAACATGGATTTTATAATGCAATTTTACCCACAGTTTCACAGCAAATAAGTACATTTAGAAATTACTTTCGTATGAATTCAATTCAACTTGAAGAGTTATTATACAAAGTAGCACCTTTAATCACAAAACAAGTATTAACTCGAGAACCAATATCTGCCAGTGAAAGATTATGCATGACATTAAGGTAAGTTGAAAACACAATAAATAAAAAATAAAGTTAGAATATGTTATTTATATTTAAAATATTTATTATAAATATTTCTTATAGGTTTCTTGCTTCTGGTGATTCAATGACTTCCATGAGCTACCAATATCTCCTCGGACTAACCACAGTTAGCAATATTATTTCAGAAACTTGTGATGCATTGTGGTCTGTTCTTTCTAAACATGTTCTTCCATATCCTTTAACAAAAGAGAAATGGTTAAATATTTCTAAAGAGTTCGAAGAGGTATGGAATTTTAACCATTGTATAGGAGCTATTGATGGTAAACATGTTGTTATTCAAGTAAGTTACTGAAAAAATTTAAAATAGATTTTTATTTTTAAAGGACTTTTATTTTTAAAATAATCACTATATTATTTTTTTCAGTGTCCTGAAAATGCAGGATCATCATATTTTAATTATAAAAACAGTCACAGTTTTGTTTTGCTTGCTGTTTGTGATGCAAACTATATTTTTACTTTTGTGGATATTGGAGCCTATGGACGTCGCAGTGATGGTGGAATATTTAGAGACTCCTTTCTTGGCCAAAAATTCAGAACCAATGAAATGAATGTACCTGATCCAAAACCATTTTATTTCGAAGGAAACTCTATGCCTTACGTGCTAGTTGGAGACGAAGCTTTTCCACTTACTGAGTATTTAATGAGGCCTTTCCCAGGAAAACAAGGTTTGAATCAGGACAAAATTATTTACAATTATCGTCTTAGTCGAGCAAGGAGGACCATTGAAAATGCTTTTGGCATTTTATCAAGTCAATGGAGAATTTTAAGAAGACCAATAAATTGTTCAATTGAAACAGCAATGAAAATAGTACAAGCTATTGTGTGTCTTCATAATTATATTCGTATACAAGATATTGGAGTCAATGAATATATCACTGAAAACATGGTTGATCGAGATGGTTGCGATGGTTTAATAGAAGGTTCCTGGAGGAGAAATATAGACATTAATTCTGCTTTTCAAGATATAAGAAGGTGTAGTACAAATAACAGTTCTCGGAAAGCTGCAAGAATTCGGGATGACTTTTGTGAATACTTTAATAGCGAGGGAGCAATACCTTGGCAATTTCAACACTGTTGATAAACAAAGGAATAAATATTTCATTTTATAACGTTTATACTGTATTTTGTATGTAATTTCAACATTTTAATAAATTTTGTATTTAACACATAAAACAAAATATAATTTCACGCTTTATTATCTCCATAATTTAAATAAAAACTAAGTTTAATTTAAAGTACAAAATTTTTGTTAAGCTAATTTAATATTTAAGTTAATATTTCATTAATATCTTTGGTTTTCTTTTAACATTTCGTAAGACATATTTAAATATCGTTGCATCCATTCATTTTGTTTTTCTGGCGATAACTTTCTTAAGTTATGACCAAACAGTTTTAAGAACGCATCTATATGGTCTTCTTGAGGGAGTGGTGGAAGAACAATGTCAGGAGGTGGTTGGCATAAAGCGTCTGCTATACGTTCTAAGTAGCTGTTTTGTGACTCTGCTCGCCTTCTCTTTCTTACATGATCTTGATCTCTGTCTGATATACTCGTATCTTGACTATCTTCATTATTAGTAACTTCTAACATATTCGCATCTTGGCAATCTAATTCATTATCATTCTCGATAATACTGTTGCTGTCTCCATCGTTAATATTAGAAATCGTACTGTAAAAAAATAAAATTTATTATTTTATATAAAAAAATTAATACAAAAATAATTTTCTAGTATTAAAAATAATGAAATCATACAAATGCATTATTAACCTTTTCTGTAAGCAACTATCTCGAAGGAATTCCATACTTTTATAATGTTTCCATTTGCTCATGTTGCTTTTGGAAGCAGATCCACTTGGTAGTTTCTCAGCGTTCACAAGTCTCCTATAAGTGTCGTGAAAATTCTTGAACTTGCTTTTACATCCAGCTGCGCTTAATTTCCCTGTAAAAACATTCTGTTTTAATATATTTTTTTAAATTCTTGAGGCTTCCACGGGTACTATCTTCAAGTTTGCTGAGTGTTTCGCGGGTTATCTCCATGTGTAAGTTCATCCTTGGATGCTATGGATGCTTGGATAGTATCCAAGGATGAACTTACACACGGAGATAAAACCCGCGAAACACTCAGCATATTTTTTTAATATTATAAATAATAGACATTTATATAACCATTAAAAGTTTGAGAAACTTCTTCCCACAAAGCTCTTGTAATTCTGCAATTTCTTTGAATGAGAGGTAATCTAAAATTCCATAGTGGTTCTCTGCATTGGACTTCTAATATTAGCATCTCCTCCTCCTCAAGTGACAGTTTTTCCTTTGCGCTCTTTTGATTGGAATTTCTATTATTATTAATGGATCGAATATTCTCTGAAACAAAAAATAAAATGTATATCATACAAACATAATATGTATAACTTCTCATTTATAATGTTTTAAAACTTCAAGAATTTATTACATTTATCTGACCTTGATTATCACCATGAAAAGGTACAGATGCTATTGTTTCAGCGTCCTGTGTCAAGCTTCTTCTAACAATAGTTTCTCCATCGTCTAAAAAAACATTATTAAAAAAACATCAGATTTAATAATTTTTGTAATTAACTTAAGTAAAATATATATATATCTATAAAATACCTAATACAGGGTAAAAGTACAAATTATCATCTGTAATGAAATTAGAATATCCTTGAAGACACTCATGGCTGGGTACTTCGTCCTCATTACATATGGTTTCACATAATCCACACGTTTGAACACGAGACTACAAAAAATATTTTAGAAAATATCTTATATAACAAATATTTTATTTACTTTAATGTTTTTTTTTTGCGTACGTTACATAAAATATTATTACTGACATAACTTATATGATTAAAAATAACAGATTTATATTTATATGTAAAACAAGATATGTTAAAGTGTTGCTCGAAATTGACCTTTCTCAATTTATGTTTACTTATAATGTTAAAGACATAATAATGTCCTTAATTAAGGGGACGCTGGAGTTGTGCAGGGACTTTTGTCGTACATAATCTCGAACACGAGCAATATTTGCTTCATGTAAAAATTCTACAGTTTGTGTTATGTGCAAAATAAGAGTCAGCGTATGCGCGAGACAACATATCTGAACAATATCGTGCAATTGGAACTAAGGTTAAAAGCCTAGAAAAAAAGAAAAATGTACTTAAAATTTTGTACAACCTTCGCATACGCTGGCTCTTATTTTGCGCATAACAAACTGTAGAATTTTTACATGAAGCAAATTTGCTCATATTCAAGGTTATGTACAACAAAAGTCTCTGCACAGCTCCAGCATCCCCTTAATATTAATAATAATATTTTTATAATAATATATATGTACATGTTTATTATATTCATCAAACAATATTATTATACTTACCATTTCGATATCCATTCAAATCTTTATCGCTCGCTAATATCGCTTGTAGTTGGAAAAATCGAACTACATTTCACGTCGCTAGCGACTTACATGACGTCATCACATCGCAGAAAACGAGCGTCGAGCGACAGCATGAAAAGGTACCTTTACGCGCCGTTCGTAGCCATCGCGTTCGCTCCTCCCTCCGCTTTGCCGCGCGCCGTGTATCGTGTGACAGGGGGCCGTCTCATCTCGTCGCGCGCTTAGATTGGCCGATCTTTTTTATTTAATAACACAATAATTATTGCGAAATCGCAAAACGGTAGAGGACTTTCTTATTTGGTTTAACTTACTCTACCTGCACACGACGGTTGAGGCGACCATTACCGGACACCCTGTATATGTATAATTATATATATATATATATATATATATATATATATATATATATATATATTTTGTTTAAATTTTTTTTAAAGCTGATTTTATTGTACTTGCTCTTTTTCGTCAATATTAACATTTAATCAATATATTATAATATGGTTTTTGTACGAGAAGTATATTTTAATTGATTTTATAATCTTCTATGAAACCATTTTATATAAAACTAATTTGTTTGAATCTTTTATCCTTATAAATTATTTCTTGGCTGCTTTTGCGACAAAATCAAAATTAAACTATTATTTTTTCCCAGATGTTGAAAACATTATATAGACGCATTTCTCAAATAATTTCATATCAATTAAAGTAAAAAAAAAAGATTTTTTAAAAGTTATGTCTGCTAACTATTCGCTCTCAATTAATTTTCTTTAATTATAAATAATCTATGAGTTTCTAAATTATGCAAACATATTCCTAAATTTACCCTAATAATTCCCAAACGATAGCACTAATAAAAAATAAAAAATAAAAATAAATAATAAAAAATATAAAATTTGTCCAATCGATGTCCACTAAGCGTACTTTAAACTTGATTTCCAAGTGAAATAATTATTTCCCAAACGTTAAAACTATTACAAATGTGTTTCCCAAATAATTTTACGTTAATTAAAAAAAAAGAAATGTTTTTTCGAATTATTGTCTGCTAACTATACGCTCAATCTATTTTAATTAATAATAATTATCTATTATTTCCTAAACGACGAGAATCTATTCCTAAATGTGCCCAAACGATTCCCAAGCGATTGGTATAACTGATAATAGAGAAATATCAAATTTGTCTGCTAAATATAGATAGAGGTACACATTGGAGTGAAAATGCTGAATTATATTTTGACTGCGCATTGAATTGATGATATACATATATATAATACAGATCTAAAAACTTCAAGATTACAAAAAGATAAATACAAGTTTATTCTTTGTCTAATAAATATCTCACATTTTGCAATTTATCATTTCAACTTACTATTAGAGAAGAAAATAAATATTTTCAATTTCCTGCCGATGTTAAGGCCCGTAATCATAGTCTGTTAGCCTTACATTTCTAGAAATAAGTCTTAAATCGTAAGTGTTGCGGAGTTATTTAGAGTTTTCCAAAGCTCCCGGGATTTGCAAATGAACTATATAAGAATCCACGCTTTCACTGGAGACATCGAAATTAACCGAATGGTAGGATAGAGGAAGGATGAAATATCGGTGCTTAAGAGAGATGACAAAAATGAGTTGATCGTTTAAGAGTTTATTTGAGACACACAATTGAGGTGGAGACGAAAACTGAGTTCGAGACACGCAGCCTTTGCGCGACAACCTCGCTTGAGCCGTGCCCAACTAAACTTGTTGACGACGTGCAGAGAGAAAGAATTCACCGTTGTAGGGGTGAAAAGGGGAGCAATGACGTATGTTTACTTGAGTGCGAATCAGCTGATCGGCAGCGAAAAACGACAAGGAATGTCACGGTCCTGGCACCGTAACGAAATGAGACTCGAAAATAATATATTTTTCACGCTGAAATGATTGGCTATACAATGACGTGAGATATAACTAAAACAATCGAAAACTTTAATGCCGAAATATAAGATTAATTGATATGCGATAATTTTCATTTTGTCAAACTCCAAACAGTAAGCAATAAATCAAAATTATAATATTCGATTTTTGTAGATGCGGCCTCATGTGATAATTTTTTGTTTTTAAGATTAATAATAAACCAACAAACGATAAAATTAGACCAACAATTATCAACAAATGATTACGCATCGATTAGACCGGTTTTTAATTAAAAATGAGATTTTTCCGGCTAACTTAATGTTAATTTTTTTTTAATTAAAAAAAAAATATATAAACCAACAAACGTTGCAATTGGGCCAACAATTACCAACAAACGATCAACAAAAAACGATTAAAAAAAATTAAAAAGATCGGAGTTAACCGGCTAAGTTAATGGAGTTCCTTGTCTCTCTACGGTGCGTCCGCGTGAGCAATGCAATGGTGTTGTCACGTCCGGACGACGCTTCTTTTCTCTTCCTACGCCTAGGCTAGGGAGAAAAGAGGGCGCTCTCTATTTTTTGCGGGGCAACCTGCTTACACCGGCTATATCCAGGGACGCCGAGAGCTAGGACTGATGTTGGAGATTTGGGGGCTGGGAAGGCACTAGGATGGGGAATTAAGTCACTAGTAGGCGTGGCGAGACCTCGTGTAAGATTCTTGAAGTTTTCTAAAATGGAGATTATTTCATCGGCGGTCAAATCGTCATAAAATCACAAACGATGCCAACTAATGCTTTAAATAACAATTTTAGCATAAACTCTTCTATAGTTCTATCAACAATTGTGCATATTATAAATTGTAAAAGAAGTCAAAATTGTCCTCGGGATATTTTATAATTTCTACTTTTAATTTCCCTTTGGGAATATAAAGATTTTCTACGAAGACTGTGAACAAATCGGTATCTATTAATCCTGTAGCTAAGTCAATTAATAGTCCAATAATAATATCAATAATAGAATAAAGACCTATTTTCCTGAGTTTTTGTACAGTCTTATTCAAAAATTTAGGTCTCATTTGAATAGAAATTAACGAATAGATAGTTTTATTTCATTTTATTGGGTATTTTATATGAGTATACAGATGTTACTTAATTTAATTTTGCAAATAAACTGTGTATTGGTTTATTTCCGTATGTCTCTCTGGTAATTGGTCTTTTAGGCTTGTATTTAAATCGATAGGTGATAGCTCTCCTTGTGAGGTACCTTCTTTAGATTTGAATTTTCGGTTTAATTCGAAGTAAAGTTAATAGGTCTGAAGCGGCTGCCGGTAGGTTTGGAGTGTGGCCTTCCGTAGGCTTAGTTTTAATTCTGTTAGACGCGGGTGTTAAAGCTGCTTGTGAATTAGTAGAGTTAGGAGAAATACTAGTCTTCCAGAAGCTGCGCAATATGTATCGAGGGAACGAAACCGTCTGGATTGTTTTGATGCGAGGTTTATTAGCAATCTGTTTGCGTGTTAACCAACGCAGGCACGAGGCTACGTGCTTTGCACGAGTTTTTACGCCGGCTCGATGGTTTCGTTTACTTTGCCGTTCGTTTTTTAACTTTCCGGTTGCTCATTTATTCCATTTACAATGGATAATTCTCGGGTGGTGAAGAATGTTCGGTGGTGGGAAATAAGGCGAATTATCAAGAGCGGAAATGTACTTCTCGACGATTATAAAAGAATAGAGAAAGAAGGCGCAAAATCATCAAGAGCAGAACTGTACTGCTCGGTGATTATAAAAGAATAGATAAAGCAGGCGCGAAATAATCAAGAGCAGAACGCAGTGCTCAATGATTCTTAAAGCATTGACGAGACGAAAAAAGAGTGTTCGTCAATAAAGACAGAAGGCGCAAAATCGTCAAGAGCAGAACGTAGTGCCCGACGATTATGAAAGAATAGAGGAAGAAGGCGCAAAATCATCAAGGGCAGAACTGTACTATTTAAAGAATAGATAGAGCAGGCGCAAAATAACCAAGAGCAGAACGCAGTGCTCGGGGATTATTTAAAGCATTGATGAGACGAAAGAAAGATGCTCGACAATAGAGAAAGAAAGCGCAAAATCGTCAAGAACAGAACGCAGTGTTCGACGATTATAAAAAAATAGGGGGAGGCTGAAAATCATCAAGGGCAGAAGACAGAATTTTGCACTGCTCGATGATTATTAAAGAATAGGGGAAGGAGGCTGAAAATTATCAAGGGCAGAAGACAGAATTTTGCACTGCTCGATTATTATTAAAGAATAGGAGAAGAGGGCACAGGAGAATAATAGTAGAATGATGATAATTATTAATGTAGCGCGACTTCTGGGAGTCGATTGTGTAACTTTTTTTAAAGTGAAAATGTGAAAAGTGAAAATTTTTTTTCTATTACACATCGAGTTTATTTTAAAATCAATGCGCGTGATTGGCGGAAATTTTTCACTTTTCACGTTTTCACTTTAGAAAAAGTTACACAATCGATCCCCTGAACAGAATTCAGATTCTCATGCAAGTAATGTATTAGAAAAGTCTTTGTTAGTGTGAAAGGTACCTACCTTGCGTTGGATGAACTTTTATAGCGTCAAGCGGAGAGCACACACGTTTGCATAGACGCATAAGCGTAAGCATAAAAATCTTGATTGGTCTATGAACGTATGCATAAGAAATTCAACCAATCGAATTTCTTATGCATATGCTTATGCGCTTATGCAAGAGTGTGTGCTCCCCGCTTAAATCTGCAACACGTTCACCTGCCGTCACCCCCTTAGAAGACCTCGGTCGGGATGCGCGTAGCGAAATCAAAAGTACACAGATTCTAATGCTTTAAAGTTCTTTATTGTAATTCTCTTTACTTTACAAACTATGCGCGATCAAGAATTAATGAAGAAAGTTAACGTCGTCGACGACGAACGCGTGATAAAGTTTTGTACAGAAATTTAAAGTGACACAATGAGATGCGGTATCTAGTGTGCCGTAATATGCCGTGTATAATTATGCCGCGCAGATGCTAGGACTGCAGAACTTATATACCCACTGAAATCGGGAAAAGTCTTTGTGCTTTGCGCCCTTTGGTGGGGGTTCCTTCATAAACTGTATCCCGAGATCATCGGTACAAGTGATGTGTGTGAAAAAAAGGAAGAGAGCCAATGGAATGTCTAGGAAAGCAAGAGTTCCAAATAGAGGCAGAATTTATGATATATTGTATATATGGGTGCATTCGTTTATGCAGCGATTAGCGCATCCACTGCGCATCTACTGCGTCTATTATCTGCGAGTCACGTGACATCATTTACCGAACGATCACCTGCGTGAATTGACTGCTCAGATTGTAATTGGAGTGCGTAAGTAAAGAAATTTTAAATAAATATGAATTAACTCAGAAATAAATATTTTTTATTGGCTCTCAATATAAACAATATAAATATGATGGTTTCTAAATTGGCCTAAGAGCCATAGCACGAAAAATTACGAAAATTAATTATTCGGAACTGTATTTCTTGGTACGAGATTACTAAAGTTCCATATATTAATTAACCTCGAACTTACATATGGAGAAATAGGCGCGAAAAATATAGGTCCGAAAAGTCGCTGAAGCGGGAATCAAACCCGCGTCTTTCACTTTCCGGGCGACTGCTCTTACCACTAAGCTATTCAGACTTTTCGGATCTATATTTTTCGTGCCTATTTCTCCATATGTAAGTTCGAGGTTAATTAATATATGGAACTTTAGTAATCTCGTACCAAAGAGATACAGTTCCGAATAATTAATTTTCGTAATTTTTCGTGCTATGGCTCTTAGGCCGATTTAGAAACCATCATATTTATATTAAATATGAATTATTATTTGAATAAATATAATAAAATTTTTAAATAGATTGAAGGTTCTGACATATGACGTGTGCACATAACATTTTCAGACAGTGATGACAGTAGGATTGAAATGTTGCTGAATGTAGACTTCTCAGATTTTTCCAAACTAACTGGGGACGAAGTAGCTTGATAGCTAGGAATGACTGTAACAGAATTGCATCTTTATACAAAAGCACATTTTTTTGAAACAGATTACTTTAAATTTATATTCTTGATAAAAATGTATTTTTAAGTTAATTGGATCGTAAATATAAATTAACAGATTTCATAATTTTATTGTATTACTTACCTTGCATTACTTTTAGTTTTGTAGGATCTATTTGGAGGAGTTGTTCTCCACCTTCTTTGTTCTGAACTTTTATAACATAACTTATAATTGAAATAATTTTCAGACAACGTTTCCAAGTTCAATTGGCTTAACAATGGAGAAGACTACATTCGTTTACGCAGTAGTCCGCAGTATTGCGAGCAGAGCATCCTGAGCAGGACCTCCGAGATGGCTGCGCAGATAGGCAGCAGCTCTGCTTAAACGAACAACAAACTGCGCTGCAGTCGGTTGCGCAGGTGGAGTAAACGAACGACATCTGCGGCATTCTGCGGCAGTCTCTGCATAAACGAATGCACCCATAGAGGACGCGAGGGAGTCGAGAGCGCAAAAGAGAAATAGAAAGAGAATGCTGCATATGGGCCTCTGCTATCCTTGTCTAATCGCGCATGTGCATGGCACACGTCCCTCTTCTCTTTCTCTCTCTCTGCTCATCTCTATGCTTTCGGCAGGCTCGGCTATAGCTCTCGTGCTTGCTTTGCTTTGCTCAAGTGTTAGCAAAATAAGAAGAAGATTTACGTTTTTATAACAAGTTAATATAACAAACTTTCAAGATGACAAAAAAGTGTATAATTTGTAAAGAAGAAGCAAGCATAGAGATGAGCAGAGAGAGAAGGGGGACGTGTGCTATGCGCATGCGCGATTAGACAAAGACAGCAGGGGCCCATATGCAGCGTTCTCTTTCTATTCCTCTCGCATTCACTTACGGGCAAGCATACGACTCGCGTCCTCTATATATAATATCTCTATGGTACAAACATCGGCCTAGTTTACATCAAGCACTTGATACGCGTATCAAATAATAAATTACTAAAAAATGGGTTCAGTTATTGGCTGATCAGTTCAAATACTAATTGATACCCGTATCAAGTGCTTGATGTAAACTAGGCCATATACCACTACATAAAACTCAAGAATTGGTTTCTCAGCGTTAGCAACACTGAAACCGGAGTTTTGCGTTGTCACCGCGTGAGAGCTCCAACATCAATTCAGAGTCTGGCCGGACCTCCTGTCAACCCTTAAGGGTCGGCAGGAGGCTTGGTCGACCGGCCGGGAATTACGGATTCTCTCATATAAGATATTAGCCAAAATACTGAATGAATCTTATTGAATTTACGATATTCTTAATTAGTAGGATTGTCCGTAAGTCGCCAAAGATTTATTTTTTGGAAAAAAGATGAAAATAAAATTGATAATATAACTTGGGGAAACGCGCAGCTAGCAGCGGGTAAGGTTGGGTTAGCCGCGAGTCCGTATTTTATTTATTATAAATTTTTAAGAGCGAAAATGCAAAATCTGACGTTTTGGCGACTTACTTTAGTATATAAAGAATATTAAAAAAATATTTCCACGAGGTTACGTGACTTCTTCGATGCAATATCTTATATGAGCGAATCTCACTAGATTTATATAAAGAGCAACTCATGGGGAAATTTCCGTGGTAACATACTGACAGCTTGACAAGAAGAGAGTATCATTCTGTCTTTGTCTCTCTTGCATCTAAAAACTCGAGTTCAAGTCTATCTAGTATAATAATTTTTTTTATAATATATTAGAATATATAAAAATTATTTTAAAAATATATATTTTTAAAGACGATTCTTAAGAATTTTTTAATATATTGAAAATATATTTTCGTAATTTTACAATTACAACATGTATATATATAAATGCAAAATAATTCCGTAAATAAATTGATCTAATATTTTCTATATTTTAAGAATTCTTTACTTTTGTCTTTACAAAAAAATATATTTTTAATAATTTTTACATATTCCAACATACTAAAAAAGAAAAAAATGTTAATACCAATAGATTTGAATCCGAGTTTTTACGATGACACACTGAACACCTTTGCACTCAGCCATTATGTACTTTTTTTCATACTTATTTATATAGCAGATATTATATTAATATCAATATAATTGAAAAGTAATTAATACATATTTATTAGTCTATAAATTTACGACATGTTCTGCAACAGACTAGAATTGATAGTCGTTCTCTTCTTGTCTTTATTGCGCTGATGATATGTAAAGTCGCGATGAAAAAATATCAAAGTAAAAGAAGCAATCAATTGCTAAGCCTAATAAGCGTCCGTGTCTTACATTCTGTACATTAGTCTACTCTTCGAATTATTATTTTATTATTATTATGTACAATTTGGAAACATACATGTAATTTTTAATATTATGTGCATATATATACACACAAATGTGCATAAGCATATATACAATTTCCAAAAAGTGGGTGCTTATTGGCCTTGCTACGCTACTGCCTTCTGCTACGGAAGGCCAGAAAGCATTTTCAGGCCGCATCTCGCGTATACCGGCACGGTAGAGGAACAAGGAGAACACGTCATTATCGGTCCTTGTCTCTCTACGGTGCGTCCGCGATTGTGACAATGCAATGGTGTATGTACGTGTATAGACATGCACCACTACATAAAACCCGAAAATTGGTTTCTCATCGTTGGCAACACTGAAACCAGAGTTTCGCGTTGTCACTACGTGAGGCCTCCAACATCAATTCGGAGTCTGGCCGAGCCTCCTGCCGACCCTTTAAAGAACAAAATAGAGATGGAGATGATCAAGTCCATAATTCACCACAAAGTCAACTGACAGGAAATTATATCAAGTCTCCTGTTGATTCCATGAAGTACTTCATGGTCAATTCATAATAAATATTCGGAATACTTCATGATTTGATATTATTATATATGGCTATATATAAATATAATTATATACTATGTGTGAACGCGATTACTCTGATTATAATATTATGTCTTGGAGAATTATGTTATGGTACTCTGTCACCACGGTCACCACCTGAAAAAAAAAATAAAGAAAAAAAGAAGGATAACAATAATAAGGTAGAGTACTCATAAAAAGACATATACATTTTTCTTTTTCTTATGAATACATAAATATTTTTTAATTTTATAAGTATTATTTAAGTAATTATTAAAGTTATTATTTAAGTTATATCAGGGTCCTGTAAATCAAAATGTTTTTCAAAGAAACTTAGTAGTAGAAAATCCTAAACAACAGGATATTCTTTATGAATCTGGTCGATATTTTCAAGATACAAAGAATAGAAGATTTAAAAATGAAGTTTTGGGATATTGTACTCCTGTAAGTACTTATAACAACACTATATAGCTCTGTAAAATTATAAGAATAAAATATTTAAAATGTGAAATATATTTATATGCTGATTATAATTTAATTTTTATTTTTAGTGGAATGCAGATGGATTCAAAATGTCCAAAACATTTCATGGCAAGTTCACAATGATATCTCCAGTATGGTTGTCTTTTCCTTTTGGCAATACATCAACTTATAAATTGGCCACTGACTCTGTACAAATTAATTGGATAAAGGAAATAAGGAATAATAATAATATTAATCATAGCGTGAAACGTATGTAAATTTTAAATATAATCACAGTTCAATACACACATGATTTATTTATTATTGAATTATTATTATTTTTAGTTATACCTAGAGTATTATTTGAACACTGGTCAATCGATGACATTATTAGAATATACAATAATGCAGAGAGTCGAACACAATTAATAGTATCACTTTTGGATGCTGCTCAGGTATAAATTAAATGTTTTTTTCTTTAAAAAGAAATTATTTATTCTATAACTATTAAGATATATACATATAATAGAAATCTTGTTTACAGATCTTCCATTTTGATGGATATGTTTTAGAAATGTGGAATCAGTTTGTATTTGCAGGTGCAAATATGTCAGTTGTTACTTTTATAGTTAGACTTATTGCACAAAAGTTAAGGGAACATAATTTGAACATTGTATTAGCAATACCACCATTTAGAGGGTATTTAATAACAATACTTTTTGAAAGTACTTTTACAGGAAAGCCCTTGTATTATTATAAATTATATGATTATGTAATGATCTGTGCATAATCATCTTATACAAATTTGTTGTGAAATAGCGGAAACAGCACAAGAAAAAACATGATAAATAATCAGGAAATCAAAAAATAAACAATACAAGGGCCTGTCTGTATATGATAGAAAGTTCCTATTTACTTAATATTTCTCTAATTTTTTAGTGCACAAATGGAATTATTTTCCAAACAACAGTTTGATGAATTATCACCATATGTAAATGCCTTTTCACTAATGACTTATGATTATTCGAGTATTCAAAGGCCAGGCCCAAATAGTCCTTTAAATTGGGTTAGGAAATGTGTTGAAGTATTAGTTCCAAAAAAAATGATCCTAGACGATCTCAAATATTATTAGGTATTAATTTCTATGGTTACAATTATACACCAGAGGGTGGTGGAGCAATTCTTGCATCTGAATATTTGGATATATTAAAATCATTTAAAGGAAAGATTCAATGGGATGATAGCAGCAAGGAGCATTTCTTTAAATCAAAGTAAGATTTTTTATTTTAAGTATTATTTTTATCGTCGGATTTATAATTAATGTAAAAAAATTAATATTTAATATTTAAATGCACTTATTTCAGATTGCCTGTAGGTAATGGTTATATTTTCTATCCTACATTATATTCAATTAAGAAACGCTTAGATCTCGCTAATGAATTAGGTACAGGGATCTCAATTTGGGAATTAGGCCAAGGATTGAATTATTTTTATGATTTGCTATAATTTGTTAATTATTTTCATTTTAAAGAGTTTGTTAAATAAAACATTTATTAAATAAAACGTGCATATACATGTATAAAAATGGGTAAAAATACATGCATTTTATAAAATAAAATTATTTTAATGTTTATAAAATTTTATATTTAAAAAATATATTTTAATATAACCTACTTGTTAATGCAGTATAACTTTATTATTTGCATATATGCTTATAATTTGTTATACTTGTTATACTATCACTATCACTATCAATTGATGTCTTCCTCGATTCACGGCCTTTGAATGTCATCATAATTTGTGGTCCTTTCAGAACATGATACATTAACGCCCAGCACATTTTAATTGGGAATAGACTGAAACATCAAAATTTATATTATGAATTCAGTTTATTCGAAATATGTCAAAATAAATAACTTTTATTGCAATAATTTGTGTTCGATAATGTGGATTAGTAAACTACATCAAAAAACCATTTGTCATCTCTTTCTGACATACAAAACATTGGTTAATTTAAAACACATGTATAACATGCTATTCGCACTTTTATAATTTTTATATAAATATATATTCATTTTTTATCTGCTGACATACACTAAGGAGGAAAAAACCATGGACTAGAATTGTGATTATTTGTTTATATGTAGTTTATATGTACCCTCTATAAGTTTGGAAACACCTTACATTTTACAGTTAAACAATCGTATGGCAGCGATCTGTGTAAATTTTTTGTATCAATAAATCGTTAAATAGGAGTTGTGGAAATAATCGATCAAACTAGTAATAATTGTTTACCCAGATAACCACAGTAATTACTATGACATCATTTTGATGTCAAAATGCATCATTTGCCATCAAAATGATGTCATAATAATTACTGTGGCTATCTGAGTATTAAATTTCACGACGTTTTGACCATATGGTTGTGGTCCTTTTCAAATGAGACAAAATAGATTTAATAATAATTAACTCATCATACAGTAATTATCAATAGCAATTTTTTGTGAGAAATATACAAGTCAAAATTAAATTGAAAATGTGAGATGGCCACAACATATCCCAACAAAGGATTGTCAGATTCTGACCGTCTCACATTTTCAATTTAATTTTGACTTGTATATTTCTTACAAAAAATTGTTATTGCTAATTGTTGTTGATGAGTTAATTATTACTAAATTTATTTTGTCTCACTTGAAAAAGACCACAACCATATGGTCGAAACGTCGTGAAATTTAATAAACAATTATTACTTGCTAGTTTTTTAGTCGATTATTTCAACAACTCCTATTTAAATACTAATGATTTATTAATAATTGAGAAATCGTTAAATATTTAAATGACATTTTTATTTATGACAGATCCTTGCCATGCGATTGTTTAACTGTAAAATGTAGTGTTTGTGAAGGATATTTGTGAAGGAAGTTTGTGAAGGATACTGTATGCAATAAATAATAAATATCCATTTATAATAACACTGTTTTTTGTTTCACGATTAATAATATTTCAAATAATATACTGATAAAAAACATCCATTAAGTTTATATTCTTGCACGTTACAAATATTTAATTAAAGATCTATTTCTTTATTAGAGAATTATCTTTTAAATTAAGAGATTTGACAGATCTGTGCAATTTTTGACAGATCTGTGCAATTTTTTGTATAAATCACAAAAGTTTATTATATGATAAAGTTTCTTATTAGGCTTCTAAATTTATATTTAAAAGTTCATTTATATTCCTTCAAGCATTTTCTATTTGAGACTAATCTTATCTTGTACGTAGAAATTGCCAATAAAAAGAATAACCTATTTAAAAGAAATAATAGCTCAGTCGATAAAACAGACCTCCGACATCCCCTTAGGCCGGATCTACAACAGGTGTAGTAAGCTCTAGCTTTAAGAAATTTATCAATCACAGTCAGAATGAGGGGAATAATTGACTGTGATTGATCAATTTCTTAAGGCTTAGAACTTACTACACCTATTGTAGACCCGGCCTTAAGCATCAATAAAAAAATGTCTCGACAAAAACATTTTTAAAACTATAATTTATAAGAAACGTTTCTTTCACGTTTAAATTATATCTCCACAACACAAAGTATTGCTAAAATATTGCAATAAAAAATATTTCAATATTGAGCTACATTACTAATATTACTGAAATATTATGCAAATATTATAAGTTAATATTTTATTGGAGACATTGCAAAATATTACTGTTATATTATAAGGTTTGTTTTCTGTTCCTGCACTAATAAACTAGTGCACACCACACACTGATCTATATACTAACTAGATAGATTATATCCAAAAAAAGCACTCTGAATTGAAACTCACTCAGCGCCTCGGAATGTTCAATAAGGTACTAAATACTGTCATGGCGTTGTTTTTTACAATATTCACAACGAGACATTTTAAGTATAAAATAAGATATAATTTTATATATAATTTTATATAATATAAATCATATCACTGAACACAAAAAATTATTTATAGGTTATGAGATAAAATAAATATCCACTTGTCAAATCACTCTCACTGTTCACCATTATTACCGGTAGAATTTAGCGTTTAGTACCTAATTGAACATTCCGAGGCGCTTTAGATCATATATAGTCTATCCAGTTAGTCTATCTAATCAGTGGTCCACATTGGTGCAATAAGTTAAGGCCGTGGCACATAAAAAACGTAAGCAGTAAGACTTAAAGCGGGGAGCACACACTTGCATAGTGCATAAGCATATGCATTAGAAATTCGATTGGTTAAATTTCTTATGCATACGTTCATAGACCAATCAAGATTCTTATATTTACGCTTATGCGCCTATGCAAAAGTGTGTGCTTCCCGCTTAAGACTTATTAAGAATTTCATCCATACGGAATTCAAAGAGCTGCTTAAAGCGGGGAGCACACACTTTTGTATAGGCGCATAAGCGTAAGCATAATAATCTTGATTGGTCTATAAATGTATGCATAAAAAATTTAACCAATCGAATTTCTTATGCATATGCTTATGCGTTTATGCAAATGTGTGTGCTCCCCGCTTAAGTTTCAAAATGGCTGTCTTACTGCTCGACCGTGATTAGTCGATTCGCTTAAGTTCTACTGCTTACTGCTTACTTTTTTTTATGTACCACGGCCTTGAGACAAAATATACTTGTCTCATTCTAATTTATTGCACCAGTGTGCACTAGTTCATTAGTGCAGAAACAGAAAACAAACCTATAATGCTATTACAAGTTTCTTCATTTACCGTTATGTCGCACGTTGAGCTATATATCTAAAGTCACTAGATATATACATAGTGACTTTATATATATCTATCTCGCATTTAAATTTTAGTCACAAGGAATTATATAAAATATGTAAAAAGTAGCTACTATAATCAATTATTTTTATTAGTTTAATTTTTTTGATGCAATCCCAACAGAGAATTTAAATATTAAACTGATTGTTTAAAAATAGGACAAATAAATGTCCAAATAAACGAAGAAAATAAAAAAGAAGAAATATTTTCCAATATTTTATAAATGTATTAACGTTGTAGAAAATATATCAACGTTGCAAAAAATTATTGCACAATATGATTTAGAAGCGAACATAGCGGATATACACAGTACCGACCAAAATATAGCCTTCTGATTTTTTAAGCATAATAACCTCCCTGTAAGAAAAATGCACGCAATTTGTTAGCAAATTGGCGACAGATTTCCACAAACATTGCTAACAGATTGATATCCGTTATGTCCGCAATAGGCTTACAATTTGCTGGCAAAATCGATATTAACAATTTATATAAAGTAGCCTTTTTGCTAACAACAGTTGATGGCAGACATTTAATATGGATCTGCTTTAACAGATTTTGCTATCTGGGCTGTTTTAAAGTGCACGGATAGTGCTCTGTCTATGAAATCATAACATAGAAGGAAAGTATAACATTGAATTATAATTCAATACTACTCGAATCTATATTATTGCAAAACGAATAAAGTATAAAACGATAAAAAATGGTATTTTGACTGTTTCTTAAACTCGAAAATAAACGTTTCTTTTAACGTTTTTCGAGTGTGGACCTTTGACTATAAAAGGAGTGGACATTTTAACTATTATAATAAAAAACGCGAATAAAAATCTGTTCGTTGTACTTTATATACTGATTTAAAATAAAATTTTTAACTTTATGAAGTAAATTATTTAATTAAGAGTTTAACTAGGCTCTGTAATATAAATATAAATTTAACATATATAAGATAGGCAATAAGAGCCAAATCGCGGATGACAGTGCGTTATCCTAAACGAAACTAAATTTTTTCGTTAGAATTAAATACCTGTGCACAAGGCACCAAATTTTACTTGGACACGGCCAAGATATAAAATTGGAATAATCTTTACAAGAGATTTTTAATTCCATGTATCCCCTATTCCCCCTAAAGAAATAAATGCGAGAGAAAAAATATAGATCCGAAAGTCGCAGAATCGGGAATCGAACCCGAGACCTTTCGCTTGCCGGGCGACTGCTCTTCCAACTGAGCTATTCAGATCCTTTCGATTCTATATTTTTCTCTGTTATATATATTAATGTTGGTAAACAAACGCCTTTAAGCCAGCGTGTATAAATTAAGAGTTTAACTAGGCTCTGTAATATAAATATAAATTTAACATATATAAGATAGGCAATAAGAGCCAAATCGCGGATGACAGTGCGTTATCCTAAACGAAACTAAATTTTTTCGTTAGAATTAAATACCTGTGCACAAGGCACCAAATTTTACTTGGACACGGCCAAGATATAAAATTGGAATAATCTCTACAAGAGATTTTTAATTCCATGTATCCCTATTCCCCCTAAAGAAATAAATGCGAGAGAAAAAATATAGATCCGAAATCGCATTTATTTCTTTAGGGGGAATAGGGGATACATGGAATTAAAAATCTCTTGTAGAGATTATTCCAATTTTATATCTTGGCCGTGTCCAAGTAAAATTTGCCTTGTGCACAGGTATTTAATTCTAACGAAAAAATTTAGTTTCGTTTAGGATAACGCACTGTCATCCGCGATTGGCTCTTATTGTCTATCTTATATATGTTAAATTTATATTTATATTACAGAGCCTAGTTAAACTCTTAATTTACACGCTGGCTTAAAGGCGTTTGTTTACCAAATTAATATATATATCAGAGAAAAATATAGAATCGAAAGGATCTGAATAGCTCAGTTGGAAGAGCAGTCGCCCGGCAAGCGAAAGGTCTCGGGTTCGATTCCCGATTCTGCGACTTTCGGATCTATATTTTTTCTCTCGCATTTATTTCTTTAGGGGGAATAGGGGATACATGGAATTAAAAATCTCTTGTAGAGATTATTCCAATTTTATATCTTGGCCGTGTCCAAGTAAAATTTGGTGCCTTGTGCACAGGTATTTAATTCTAACGAAAAAATTTAGTTTCGTTTAGGATAACGCACTGTCATCCGCGATTTGGCTCTTATTGCCTGTCTTATATATGTTAAATTTATAAATTATTTAAATTTTATTATATAATTTTTATTACTTAATTATATTAAATTAAATTGTTTTTTATAAAAACTTATAAATATTATAAGATAAAAGTCTGTTATTTTTTGCAAAATCAATAACTTTATAACATGTAGAACACTTCAATTTAACAGATAAATTTTGAGAGATAAATTTTTAAACTTACCATTTAAATAGCAAAACATATTTTATGATGTTGGGTAACACAATCAACATTTCATTTGCTAATACACCTGTGATCACTCGCTCAGCAACGTATTCTGGTTCAAGCATCGGCATCAACCTGTTTTGTGTGAATTATTTTGTAATTTTTTTATAAAGATTTATATATATAAAGTATATAAAAGGATTAGAAAAAGGGACGATAAAATATCTCAAAAAGTATAAATTTGATTAAAAAATGTTTTAAATCAATTGTAGGATATAAAAATTAGGTAGTATACTTATTGGCCTTATCAGTTTGACCTTGTTTTTTAAATTATTTCAAAATCAACTCGGTTTCTTTTGATGAAAGAAAACGCATAGTTGTTTTTAAGAAAAAATATAATATTCTAGTTTTGAGACTTTCGGTGGAATCATCGGAATCATCAATGTAAAAGGTTTTCGGATGGATGCCGTGTGATTGAACAGCGTAATGCCATTATAGACAATCACGCGGCATCCATTCGAAAGCCTTTTGCATTAAAAAATGTATGTTGGAAATTGCATTTTTTCTTAAAAATAACTATGTATTAGTTTTATCAATTGATTTGTCTAATTATTCTATGCATAAAAGTAAGATTAAAATTAAATATTTACAAGATCTTTTGTATTTAAATCAAAATATGTCTAAGGTATATAATATCTCATAAACCATTCAATTTTCAACTATTTTATCGTTATAATTTTTTATCTAAAAATTTACAAGAAATTTATTTATTATTTTATAAAATCTATTTTCTATTTATAAGATACTTAGGAGTAGTTTTATTTAAAAGTTGAAATTGATATATGATAATAAATAGACCTTTTTGAATCTTTTATAACTTTTATTGAAAACATTTTTTATAAAATTTATATTTTTTGGGATATTTCGTTGTTCCGACCTTTTTCGGATCATATATGTACGTTAGAAATTCTAATATAATCTTTATTATTTTTTAATATTACGTTAATTAGGATAATTAACTTATCAGATTTTAATAAAAAATTTTAATTTACAGGGTGTCTCAGAACCTCCGTACAATACTTCACAAACGTTTTCTAGACGTGAAATGGAGTAAAAATATCTAATACAAAAATGTTGAGGCAGCAATAGTTTTTGAGCTATAAGCGATTGATAATAAAGGATTTTTCGCAAACTAAGCCTTGTGGAAATAAAATATTAACAAAATCACATTTTTCAATTATAATTTCAGGTAGAGTTTATTTTAGTAAAATTCTAATTTAAACACAATGATAATTTATTAAATATTACGAGGCCATGTGAAACGAGCAATAAAAATTATTATAAAACTTGGAAAAAAATTTTAATTTAAAAAACCAATTACAAACGTTTCGAACTTTACTTAGTCTTCTTCAGCGCGCAATAAAACAATAATAATAAATAAAAAAATATAAAAAAATAAATAAATACATAAAAATTCTAATAAAAAGTCGCAATACACAGTCAAAATAAATTAGATAATTAAGTCAAAATTAAAAGGCGAAATACATTTACAATAAATTGAAATTATTAAAAATAGTTCAACACGATAAGTCCCAATTAGAAGCAGAAATCGAATTAAAATAATTCATCCGGCTAGTCAATAAATATTTTAAAATTATTATTAAAACCTCGGAGTGGCACTTAAACATTACTCCAAACCAATCACTCATCGTTAGTCGACGAATATTATTGTTTTATTGCGCACTGAAGAAGACTAACAATAAGTAAAGTTCGAAACGTTTGTAATTGGTTTTTTAAATTAAAATTTTTTTCCAAGTTTTATAATAATTTTTTATTGCTCGTTTCACATGGCCTCGTAATATTTAATAAGTTATCATTGTGTTTGTTTACATACGAGCTTGAGCATTGTTACAGATTAGTTGATTTTGTATTATTTTTTCATGGTTTCTAATTTAAAGCTTATTGTTAGTTACAAAGATACATGATAGCAAAAATTGGAAACATGTAAAAAATGATAACCTTTTTCACCATTTTCACTGAAGAAAAATTATCTCCAAATGATTCCAATAATCTGCCATTAAAAAATTTGCTATTAATTTTGAGATACCCTGTATATATGTATTTTATTGGGAAATAAATCACCGCGTGAAGTCTCCAACATCAATTCGGAGTTGGCCTGGGTCGCCTGCCGACCCTTAAGGGGATCCTTCACGATTATCTGTTTTATCGACACAGTCGTATATTTTCGTACTTCTAGGATTTCTCTGCATTAATTTGTCAGAATATAAAATGCTTTTCTACAATTGCAATACATGCATCCCAGGGAATCTCAATTTTATAAAAAATGAGAAATAACAGTTTTTCTTACCTATTTTTATCTCGATATGATATCTCGAATTGTTGACGAACTGTCAACCTCATTATAATAAATGCTTTATATAAATCATATACATTTTGTACGAATTAAAAAAACACATTTCCTGGGATTAGAGAACACGAAAGATAGCACTGTTATCCTCTAAATCAGGATTAGAAGTCTAATAAAAATGTGTAATTAGAAATATAATTCGTACGTATATGTGGGTGTGGTGTGTATACGTGCATATATTTTGGATATGTGTGCTGCTATTTTGTCGGAGTTTGTCATTTGCTGAGGGATCCTCTTAAATATTGATGAAATTTTTACAATTTTAACAATTAATATACATATAGTATCAATTATCTATATGTATATATATCTATATGCATATCGGCTTAGAACTGTAGAACTTACCGCGATGTTTTGTGCGTCAACGAAAATTAAATTTTCGTTGATTAGGAATAGTATCCTTGGTTTGGATCTCTAATTCCTGTGTTATCTCTTTTAATCTCTCTGCAAAGCTATAGATGAGAAAAATATTGGTCCGAAAGTCGCCCGAATCGGGAATCGAACACGAAGACCTTTCGCTTGCCGAGCGACTGCTCTTCTAACTGAGCTATTCAGACACGATACTTCTCTCTGTCTTTGTAACTAAATAACGCCGTATTTTCAGCCAAGGCGTAAACAAACAATATTAAGAATATATAATTCGGTTCTCCAAATAAATACACAATATATATCTATATGTATATCGGGTGCAGAGGTTACCGCGATGTCATTTGCGTCAACGAAAATTGATTTTTCGTTGATTAGGAATAGTATCCTTGGTTTGGATTTCTAATTCCTGTATTACCCCTTTTAATCCCTCTGTAAAGCTATAGGAATTAAAGATCCAAACCAAGGATACTACTCCTAATCAACAAAAAATAATTTTCATTGACGCAAAAGACATCGCGGTAGGCTCTGCAGCCAATATACATATATATACCTAGACAGCACAGAATATTTATAAAATATTTATAGAATATTTATAATAATTATTTTAATATTTTATAAATATTTTATAAATGTTGTTGGTAGGTTACTTTTATATAGCAGAATATTATTAAAATAGCTTAGGTTAAAATATCGTTTCTTTATTTATATGAAGTTATACAGCTCTATCGCGTACTACAGTAAGAGGAAGAATGTATATATATTAAAACGGAAGTACCCGCAGCGCTCACGAAGAGCCACGGTAGGTATTGCAGCGCCAGAGTGAGCGCCGCGATAGTACTACGAATTCCATATCCAACATTCCCACTAGTTTGTATACTACTTATGAATATTAATTAGCCAACATTAAGCCTGCTCCGAAATTGTGCAAATGTTTCTTTTGGCAGACCCTTTATAAAAATGTCTGCTAGCTGCTCCTTGTTGGACACGTACTCCACCTCGATGTTCTCTTTTTCAACATGATCTCTTATTAGATTATACCGAATATCGATATGTTTTAGGACGATGTAATTCTGGATTGCGTATTAACTTAATTGCTGCCTGATTATCAACTTGTAGCATTGTTGCCTCCTTTTGTTCAGCATCAACGTTTTTCATTAGCTGTCGAAGCCATAGTATCTCTTTTGTTGCATCTGTTGCTGCGATATATTCAGACTCCGTCCTTGATTGTGTCACCACTTTTTGTCGTCGACTTGCCCAAACGATTGATCCTCCAACCAGTATTATTGTTAAACCTGTCGTTGACTTTTTTGTTTTTTCATTATTAACATAATCTGCATCACAGTATCCAACAAAGTGTCTATTTCCATTAAATCGATAAGTGATACCCTGATTGCTTGTTCCCTTAAGATACCGCAGTATTCTCTTTACTGCCCTCCAATGATCCCTAGAAGAATTGATTAAAAACTTGCTAACATTGGCTACTGCAAACATTATGTCTGGTCTTGACACGCAGGCTGCGAACATCAATGAACCAACAGCTTGTTGATATGGAACTCCTTTCATTGAATCATCAACTTGGCCCTCTGGCAGGGGTTTCAGATGTTTATTTGCTTTAGCTGGTACTGACATTGGCTTTGCATCTGAGCTTGAACTTTTCTAACATCCTTGTGATGTACTGTTCTTGACTAATAATAACTGTTCCGACATCAGAGTTTTTCTTGATTTCTAGGCCTAAGAAGTAAGCTGCACTACCGATCGTAACTTCGAATTCTGACTTAAGAGCTTTTAGCACCATGTCAATTGTATCTTGACTCTTTGCACAAGACCATCATCTACATATAGTGCTAATAACACTGTTTGCCATTAATTGATCCTCTGTACACGCATCTGTCTGCGTCACTGGTCTTGAATTCAAATCTCATTAGAAAATCGTGAAATCGTTTATTCCACTGGCGAGGCGATTGTTTTAACAAGGATCTCACGAGTTTAACTATGGTGTCTTCTTTCGCTGTTCCTTCTGGTAACTGCATGTAAATTTCTTCTTCAAGTATGCCATTCAAGAATGCAGTTTTGATATCGAACTGCCCAATCTTGAAATTTTGTAATGCTGCCATAGCTAACAAAGTACGTACACTTTCATAACGCACCACAGGTGCAAAGGTCTCTGTATATTCAATATCTTTTCTTTGCCTGTAATCTCTTGCAACTAGTCGAGCCTTGAACCGTTCAATATTACCAGTATCATTGCGTTTAATTTTGAACACCCATTTAGATGTAATAGCTATCTTTCGTTTTGGCAATGTCGAGACAGTTTTTCAAGTTTTAGTTTTCTGAAGCG